ATTGATCCAGAATATAATGCTATGAATAGCACTATGTATGGACATGCTTTCCTATGATCATGTGACATCTTTGCCCCAGTAACTGGTTGCCAGTTTGCTTCCAGGTATGATTCAAGATGTTGCTTATAACTTATAAAACCCTTCATTGTATGAGATCCAATTGGAGGGACTGCCTATCTCCTGTGGTGCCTATCCAGGCAATGCAAATTGACAAGATTGGCAAATTTGAAGATCCTTTTAATAAAAATGTTGTCTATCAAGTCACAGGAAGTATGTCTTCTCTTATCAGAGTGCCTGCTCTCTGGAATGAGATTCCCCCTGAAATCCTGATAATTCTCATCTTGTTGGCATTCTGAAGAACCATAGAGAACTGGCTGTTCTCCCAAGCCTTGGGCTAGAGCAGGGGTAGGCAACCCAAAACACTCAAAGAGCCACTTGAACCCGTTTCCCACCAAAAACAAAACACTGGGAGCCGCAAAACCCTTTTGATATCTAAAATGAAGATAACACTGCATATATCCTTTTTTATCTTTATTATAGGTGTTTTTGTGTGTGTGTGTGTGTGTGTGTGTGTGAGAGAGAGAGAGAGAGAGAGAGAGAGAGTTTGTGTGTGTGTGTGTGTGTGTATACACACACAAATATACACACACATTAAAAATAAAAGTAAAAATATGACTCTTGGGAATATCCATACTATTAAAACAATGATCACCAAGAGAATGCTTTAAGAGAATAAAATTACATACACACAAAGGTAAAAAAGGATATATGCAGTGTTATCTTCAGTTTAGATGTCAAAAGAGTCTCTCTCTGTCTGTCTCTCTCCCTCCCTCCCTCTCTGCCCTTGGTCTGCCACTCCTCTTCCCCCACTCTCTTTCTTTCTCTCTCTTTCCTCTCTCTCTCTCCCCCTCCCCCCCCTCTCTCTCTTTCTCTCTCTCTCTCTTTCTCCCCCCCCTCCTATCTGCTGCTCACCTGGCAACCTTCAAGTTGTTCTCCAACAATCTCAGGGGTAGGCAACCTCGTCTCTTTTATGACTCATGGACTTCAACTCCCAGAATTCCTGAGTCAGCCTAGCTGGGCTAGCTAGCTCTCTCCTGCCTTTCCTGCTTCCTGCTTCCTGCAGAGACGCAGCAAAGGGAGGAGCTCCGCCCAGTAAGCTTTTCAGCTCCTCGGAGAACACTGTGAGTGCACTCTCTTTTTTTATACATACACACACACACACACACAAAAAAAAACACACATACACAGAGAGAGAGAGAGAGAGAGAGAGAGAGAGAGAAGCAGGGAAGCGCAATTCCTCTCTCTGTCTCTGTCTCTCTCTGCAAAGGCAGAGGAGGCTGGGAGCCGCAGGGGAAGGCTCAAAGAGCCGCATGCGGCTCCGGAGCCGCAGGTTGCCGACCTGTGGGCTAGAGTAGCTGGTTGTCAGTTGTTGATGGAATGTTTCGGGTTTTTCTGGCTTCAGCAGTTTTGCCTTTTTTTTGCCTGAGTTTGGTTTTATTGTTTGTTTCTTTCTGTTCTATGGTTTTTATATTGTTTTTGTGTATTGTGAACTGTCTAGAGTGGTTTGGAGTCGAGCAACATCAAATCAATTACTGTATATGTGTAAACGTGGTGCTGTTTTTTTATGTGAATGGTATATTCTTCAACCTTTTAAAAACAAAAAACAAAATCCTGACTCTTGGTTCTCTATATAAGGATAAAATATTGTGGTTTTGTATTAACTATAAAGTAAATATTAAATGTAGTCTGGATAAATTTAGAATAGAGATTCTTGTCAAGCCCCAAAGAAGAAAAATAAAGGAAGAATTTAACACATGAGAAATAAATAAGTGCATATGTCAGCAATGGTAGCAGCGGCATAAAAGTACTGGCAGTACATTAAAAAGAGATATGTCATCATTTTAAATTATATTCCCCTGCATAATCCCTATACTTCTCACTTTTTTCCATAGAATGTTATTTCTAACAATGAATGTTTTTTCAGTGTTCAAAAGTGTCTACAGTGACCAAATAATATCCCTGCAACCTGCTATAGAGGTTGAAAAACACTTCAAAGTGATATTAAATAAGCCTACCATATGTTACTGATTTAAAGAAATTCCCCACATTTCTGAACATGATGGGTTTTTTTATTACGTGTATGTTTCCTACTGCTTAATGTACGGTTTATCATAAGGACTCATCACTAGCCATATGGCTTTTATTATTTATTATGTTCCACTTATTATTAAACAAATAGATGTGGCTTCCATTAATCCAAAAATATTCTGTGATAAAGTTCGTAGTACTTCCAGCTGGTACTGGACACATCACTACAAACACAAATGACATTTTTTTGCTGTGTTTGTTACTGAAATAATAATACTGAGATTCTTCTCTAAAGTTTAAGTGTGAGGGATTCTGGTTCATAGGTTCTAAGTCTTCTTATGTGGTCAATTAGATTTTTTCCCTATGATTAATACTGTGTGAGGCTCAGTGCCATAAAAACATGATTATTCCTATCTTTTGTGTCTCAATACACTTTCATTTAATGAGCATCTCACTACACTTTTGTTTATCCTGTATATTCTAAATAGATTTTTTCCTATCAGTGAGTAATGGTTCATTCAACCGTTACTAAATGCACAAATAAAACTTCAGTTCCTAATAATGGCTGCATATTATGTTTGAACTGAATAGTATATTTTTACACCTTAAAAATCCATTCAATTAGCATAATTTAGAAAGCATTTTACTCACAGAATCCACCAGTTAATTACAACCAGTAATAAGCAGTAATATAGCCTTAATAAAAATGTGAAAATAAACTGAACATAATTAACAAGCAACAGATGGAAAACTTTAAAAGCAGCATTCTTCTAGCCTTCCAGAAATACAGATTTCATTGCCCAGAATTCCTCAATTGCTATGGCTACAGCTTAGAATTCTAGGAGTTAAAATCATATATCTGAAAGTAACCTAGTTTAGATAAGATTGCAATAAAAGCTAAGCTTTTCATGACATAATTTATTTAGTCAAAAAAGAGATGAGTCACTCAAAATTTCCTAAGAATAAAGATGGTTTTTACTCACACTAGTCATTGAAATGTAAGATCTATAATTTAGTGCAATATGGTGAGCGGACCTTATCTCCACATACAACTCTAGTTTTAAAATATAGTTAATGTAGGATGTTGTATTCTTTGGCATAGTGGCAATTTAAAAAGCACGCTGTGTTCCATCAACCACAGACTTATTATCCGGCATTCAGCATAGAACAGCTACTGTGATGGGAGAATAGTTGAATAAATAAATTCTTCCCACCCCAAAAAGAAAAAGAAAGGAAATGGAAAACATCTCATTTTTTCACTATGGTAGCAAATTCCTAGCATTATTGTACTGCATTTTGCTCCATTTACCTAATTCTGCTGATCGACCATTGTTTAGAAACTACAGGTAGTCCTCACGCTCAACCACAATTGAGCCCAAAATTTCTGTTGCTAAGCGAGACGTTTCTTAAGTGAATTTTGCCCCATTTTATAACCTTCCTCGACAAAGAATTGAGGCCTTTGAACTATGGTGCTGGAGAAGATTCCTGCGAGTCCCTTGGACTGCAAGGCGTTCAAACCGGTCAGTCCTAGAAGAGATCAACCCCGGCTGCTCTTTAGAAGGCCAGATCCTGAAGTTGAAACTCAAGTACTTTGGCCACCTAATGAGAAGGAAGGACTCACTGGAGAAGAGCCTAATGTTGGGAAAGATTGAGGGCAATAGAAGAAGGGGACGACAGAGAATGAGGTGGCTGGATGGAGTCACTGAAGCAGTAGGGGTGAGCTTAAATGGACTCCAGAAGATGGTAGAGGACAGGAAGGCCTGGAGGAACATTGTCCATGGGGTCATGATGGGTCGGACACGACTTTGCAATTAACAACAACAACACAACCTTCCTTGCCATGGTTGTTAAGTGAATCACTGTGGTTGTCAAATTAGTAACACAGTTGTTAAGCAAATCTGACTTCCCTATTGACTCTGCTTGTCAGAGGCTTGCAAAAGATGATCCCATGGCCCTGGATGCTGCAACTGTCATAAATATGAGTCAGTTGCCAAGCGTCTAAATTTTGATCATGTGACCATAGAGATGCTGTAACAGTCAGAAGTGTGAAACATGGTCAAAAGTCACTTTTTTCCAGTGCCGCTGTAACAAACTGTTTTAAGACAAGGATTACTTTTGCACTTTGAAAGACAGGACAAGTCAGATGCCTCATATAACCCAATGGAGCAAAACAGGAGGGGAAAAAAAGTTGCTATTCATTTTTATTGCAAGTGAAATTTTCCATTTGCAAAACACCTAGTAGAAAGAAGAGGGCAATGAAGAGCGCCTGGCAATATCACTGTCTGATTGCTGGGAGACTCCAGCCATTCTATAAGCAATAAGATGGATCCAACATCGGATAATGCCATATTCTTCTGCCTTTGTTGGCTTATATTGGCTTGTAAGGAATTATCCTTTTCATCCGAACCTTGAGTCATGCTACTTCGTTAGAATTAAAACCATTCTGAGGTCAGGAATTTGTTTTGAATATTAAAACTGAATGACCCTCATTGTTATTTCATCCAACAATCATTTCCTGTTTATCTGAAGTGCTCTTCATAATTTAGACCAGGGGTAGGCAACCTTGGCTCTTTTATGACTCGTGGACTTCAACTCCCAGAATTCCTGAGCCAGCCAGCATGGCTGGCTCAGGAATTCTGGGAGTTGAAGTCCACGAGTCATAAAAGAACCAAGGTTGCCTACCCCTGATTTAGACCATAACTATAGTTTAAAACAAGAGATCCAGAAATACTACAAATCACCCACTGATTTATGATTAGATCAATTTTACTTTGGTTCCTTTCTAATATAAGTTATATTACAGTAAAATATAAAAGTAGTCAGCTGTAAATCTAAAATAGTAAATGTTTAGTCAGACTTATAGTACATCCGTATTTATAGTTGATATTAATAATGTGTGTTTTTGTTCCTAGATACAGTTAAAAGTTGTGTAGCAAAGTTGTCTTTCAGCTGTCCCCTGAAAGGTCACTACTGCCTGTACAGTAAATCCGGTTTTGCTCTCATCAGTCACCAGCCTCAACTTTGGATCCATATCATGTTTCTCTTTCAGCAGGTGTGTGCAATGTGAATATAAACATAATAATTGTTAAAGTGGATGTCAATTAAAACCAGTGTTAACTGTAATCCCTTGAGATATATTGATGTAAATTAATGTTGTTCTGAAGCTACTCACCTCCCACTCGGAAGGTTGAGAGTTCAATCCTAGGCAGCTGAAAGATGTTTTGTCTATCAGGATGCAGAGAAAATATCTGCTGTGAGCTCTGCATAGCCATCAGGAAGGGCATCCAGTCAGTAAACGCTCAGCTCCATTCAGTTGCTTTAACTCCATGCCTATAAAAGGGATTAAGGGTCTTTAAAAAAATTGTTTTCTTTGGGTCATTTTTAGATCTGGTTTGCACTGAACAGGGATGTAATATTGCCATTTATTATATTGATTTGTTTTTTTAAAAAAAACAGTTTTTATTAAAAGATTTTACATAGGTAATTAAAAATACATTCAAATAAAGTGAAAAAATATAGTGCGGTAAATGTGGAAACGAAAAAAGAAAAGAAAAACAGAGAAAAAAGAAAAAAAGAAGAAAATAAAAGAACAAAAAAATGTGAAGCAGGGTGGATGGATGGAGATAGATAGACAGACAGACAAACAGACATCTTCCAATTTTCCTTTTGGCAGTAATACATACAATACTGATCAGATCTATCCCTTCAAGATTTCATCGTATTTCCCTTCTTTTTATAACATTCTTTCTATTGTCAAAACCGTAAGTCACAAAGGATCAGGATTGTGATATTGAAATTAAGTGTTATATATTCATTTCATAGAGGAAAGGGAAATGGTCACCTACCAAGCAACACTGCAATAAATTCTTCAGATCATTTAACTAAGGTGATAGCAGAGCTTAATACTTCCTATTATTAATATAAAGTTGTTAAAAATCTGGATAGTTATGCTATTTTTTCTGAGAACTGGAAAACTTTCCTTTGCCTTAGAAAATAATAGGGCCAGATTAATTTAGGATCCTACTTCCTTGAAACATAGATAAATTGGAACTAATGGGTTCACAGACTTTGATCCACAATTCATATGCTCATCTATATCAACATATACTGTAGTTTGAGGAATGAGGTCTAGAAGACCTAATCAATGTTGAGTTCAATTAATTGGTGAAGCTAATTATGAATTCATGTTGATAATAATTTTATGAATTACTTATTATCGATCATTCCCTTTGTTACAATATAGGTGTGGATAAAATATATTTGTGATGCTAAAAGTAGATTCATATTATGGAACTACTGCCAAAAAAAAAGCAATAGAAAAAACAGTCCAGGATCTGGCTTCCCAAGTCCTCCAAGTCTTGCTGAAATATGTAATGAACAAGATGGCTATTGCCCCACTAAGTATGCTCCCATGACAGCCTCAATAACTTGGCTAGATGTCACACAAGACCACTAACCAGTTCCCATTCCATTGGTGCCCAAACCAGCACCTAGTCCTAGGCAAATGAATGCTCTGTAATACTAAGGGTAGGTATAGTGAGGCTGCTATCCCTATAACCATGCAGCATGATAACCCCATTGTCATAACCACTATCTGGAGAGAGATCTTTTTAATTAGTACTGCCATCTCATCCATCTTGTCCCTCCTTGGCCATTAAGTGATAATGCTGCTTACTGGTAGATCTTCAATCTTTGGTCAGTTATGGCCCTTGCCTCATACAACTTTCCTACCACCCCTCATAATGATGCTAAATAAAGTTGAATATTCTGCTCTTTAAAATAAGGATATACATACATACTGCAAATTGTGTTTCAGTTGAATTGAGGGTTCTGCCAATTACCAAACAACTTTTTGAATGAGGAAATGGAAACAAGTTATGAGTATCCTATGTAGCAGCCTTTTAATATGAACTTCTGGCAGAGAATAGCAGCTACAGGTTTTGATAGTAACTTCAGGTCCCATTCACAGTATGAGAGAGTCACTTTCCTTTGATGAATTCCAATATTGCTGAAAATGGTTTGATATTATAATCACACTGTTTAGGTCAATCTTATTGCCCCACTGCCCCTCTGCATTTTCAGTATACCCACAGTGTGTTCCAGATTTACTGGTGTGTTAGCCTGATTATTTTTTGGTCTCCATTGGTAATAATGTTTATGGTAGTAAATTAAACTTAATTAGATGTAAAGAGAATATTTATTTGCATTCAGCCACAAGGAGTTACTCTAATCCATAATGGTTCCCTTTTAATGAGCTTCCCCTTCTGCTGATGGAGCTAGCTAGAAATTCTGGGAACTGGAGAATGCTATAATAATTTTCATTTTTAAAAAGGTAATTCTCCTTCTCTCCTTAGTTCATGAGGAAGCCTCTGTACATGCATCAAATGATTCTTTGCTTTGATTACTGTTATGCTTTCTCTTGCTGATCATTCTATACAATCCTAGAGTCTGGGCAAACCAATTAAGTTTTATGATAGAAGTGTTCATTATATTCATTATACTATAATTACAGTAGTTACACACACATAAACATAGACCATTTTATTATGGACTGGCAATTAAGTTAAAATGCAGGTAATTTTCATATAGTTGAACTGTACGTGCTTACCTAGGAGTGGACATCTCTGAATACAATTAACTTTACCTAGTAACAAACATGTATCAGCTTATATTGTTGATTCATTTAATTTGAAAATACATAATTGGAAGCAAATCAAGAAAACTAAAATAAAATTGTTTTCTAATGTCAAGCATAATATTTCAGCTGGATACAAATGAATATTTTTTCTCTCTGAGACTGCTGTAATTTGAAAGAAGGGAGTCAGTCTCAAATTTTTCTCTTTGTTCATTTTAATAGTTTAAAATCTTTGTAAATACTGTCTATGGAGATTCTATGGAGATATTTGTAAATACTACTTAACCATAAGTTTGAGTTTGACAAAAATAGGAAAGAGAAGATTGTGTTGAATCAATTTGGTTGTGGCTCCGAGAATTAGATTTTAATTTATAGATGAGTCAATGTGTTCTGCTATGATAGATGTTTGGGTTGTGTTTTGCTGAAAAGCTGCTTATAGCATTGGTAAGATCTTTTATAAACACAGTCTATGCAATTGCATGACCACAATTACACTATGATTTGCATTATCTTGCACTAATGCTTAAAGATTGATTTGTCAGAATCATGAAAATCTTTAAATTCATTTAAAATCAAAAGTATGTTGAAATTTTTGTTTTAATGTAAGCCATTCATCCAAATATCTTTATGTTAATTAAGTTTATGTTAATAACTACATAAGCTCCCAAAGAAGCTATGCCGCCATTGAAGCAAAACGTTACCAACTTCATTTGAGAACAGCTGTCTGAATATTTTCTCCCACATTTGCTCCAAATATTGTCCTCAGTACTCTACACATAGATACTGTCATCAATATCTCCTATAGTTAAAAAAATATAGTTTAAAAATATCAGGCCCAAATCATTGTTTGTCCAGTAGTTATTGATTATGTGCCATCAAGTGGTTGTTGACTCTTAGTGACCATTTACTGTAGATAGATTTTCTCCATGATGATCTATCCCTAATCTGGCCTTTCAAATCTTAAAGAGGAGCACTCATCAATGCAGTAACTGACTCCATCCACCATGGCCATCCACTTTTTCTCTCCTTCCACTTTCCCAACATTAGACACCTTCCCAACTTCTCCTGACCTTAAGTCCAAACTTTTAGCCTAGTCATTTGTGCCTTGAGTGACAACTCTTGAGTTGATTTGTTTGATGATACCTTTGTTAGTTTTCTTGGATGGCCATGGTGTATAACAGAATAACAGAGTTGAAAGGGACCTTGGAGGTCTTCTCAGGTGTCCGCTCCAACATAAAAATTCAAAAACATAAATACATTTCCTGTCCTGCTTTTTCAAAGCCCAACTTTCACTTCTATAGAGCATCACAGGAAATTCCAGACCTTGCACAATTCTGATGTGCATGGTCACAACATTTTAATATCATTTTCAAGGCATTCATGACTACTCTACCTAATATTAATCTATGACATGTTTCTTAAGTTTGCCCAATAGGATCATATTTTTAGAACACTGATTTAATTATTAATTGCAAAAAATGTTTTTTGCTAATGTCCTATTTCATCCAGAGATGCAAAGGTATTTAACCTGATACAGTGTGCAAGATTCTTGCAAATGGAAAAATAATACCTGAAAAGTACTGGTTTTGTACTTGGTGGTTTTCTTGCACTTTGTTACCTAGTTCAGTAATGAAATATCTGCAAGAAAACCACCAAGCTCAGAGAGCACCAAGGACCCCACAGTTGTATCCTGAGCTACAAATATTCTCTTCAGTCAGTATTGTTTTTCTTTTTGTCTATTAGGGCTTGTTTCCAGAACCATTGTCCATGCAGAATAATTATTTGCAAGTTCTGAAGACCCTGTGGGAAAAAACTCAGCTTAAAGGAACACATAGTTTTGAAACTGCAATAGTGCAATCTACGTTTCCACATAAGAAGGTATTTCTTTTCTTATAAACCTTCAAGGGGTGGGTATATTTTGTCTTTATTTACTGAAAGAAAGACCAGGACCATATCTCTGAATGTGTATGGTGAAGGCAGTTAAATTCTCAAAGTTGGAATTTTGAAGTTGATGTTTATTGCTTGATATGTGAAGCTTTCAAACGAAAAATGATGGAAAATGGTTACAGAGGATTATCTCCATCCGATTCATCTTTGTTATATCTATGACAGTAGTGGTGAACCTGTGGCACCATGCCAGAGGCGGTACTTGGAGTCCTCTCTGTGGGCACATGTGCCATTGCCCAAACCTTGCCTCCCCGCGACCCCCTCACCAGCAGCCCCCATGGAGGAGAGTCGCTCCCAAGTGTGGCCCACGCAGAACAGTGCAGCCAAAGACATGGAAGCCAGGCAGCATAGACAAGATTCTGCCCTCCTGCCCCATCGTGCATAGTTGATGCTGCGGGGCACGGGCAGAGGACATGGCCACCATGGCACTGCTGGGCTGCCTGGGCGATCTACAGCGAGCCCTGGAGGTGGTGAGTGGCCCTGCGAGCAGGCAGGGTGGGGGCGGGGCAGAGGATGGAGCGGGGCGAGGCCAGTTTTTGGGCACTTGGTCTCTAAAAGGTTCTCCATCACTGATCTATGATAGTCATACATGGCTGCGTAAATTTATGAATAATTTATAATATTGTACCTCCTGGTTTGCTAGTAAGGTTTTGATTGCTCTGGCCTCCAGAGTTTTAAGCTTCTTGTGATATTCAACATCTTTTTAATCCCTTCTTTTTACATGCATTGTTTTAATTTATTGTATCTCATCTGTGTTCAACCAGTAAGAAAAATGAAGTCTTCTTCTAGTCAAGCTCAATTCCTGTTGTTATCCTGACAATAATCATACTGTTTCTTGGTTACAGTCTGGACTGCTTTTTGTTGCCTTTTATTCTATTGCGCAGTTTAGCCTACAGCCCTAAAAAAAATCCCTTGTGGTCACCTACCCAAATCCTAGCCAGGAACAATACTGCTTAGTAGTCCAGCCCACACAAGGACAGTCAATTTCTACCTGCTGAGATGGATTAGAAATTTCACTGTATTAATAAAATAAGCATATTTTGTCTCTGAAGATCAGGAATAAAAGAACAGTATCCTTTAATATTTTTCCATGATGCAGCCTTTCTTCACGTAGTTGCTATATGATAGCACTAAGTTATGTGATCATAGAATGTAGAATAACAAGGTTGGAAGGGATTATGGAGGTCTTCTTGAGCAGGAGACCCTACGCCAGTGTTTCTCAACCTTGACAATTTTAAGGCATGTGGACTTCAACTCCCAGAATTCCACAGCCAGCATTGCTGGCTGTGGAATTCTGGCAGTTGAAGTCCACATGCCTTAAAATTGTCAAGGTTGAGAAACACTCCCTACGCCATTCCAGACAAATGGCTGTCCAATCTCTTCTCCAGTGATGGAGCACTCACAGCTTCTGGAGGAAAGCCATTCCACTGATTAATTCTCACTGTCAGGAAATTTCTGCTTAATTCTAGGTTGGATCCGAAGCTAAAGCAAAGTGACCTAGACCTATAATTCTTCATATAGTCTGTTTAATGAAATTGGGGACCATCTTCCTTATTCAGCAGCCATCTGCCAGATACCTTCAGGAAATGCTAATTTCCTTCTCCCATTGTAGATTTTTGGCAATATACTGTCTGTTATTGTTATTCAGAAATATACTATGAAAATTCTACCAATCTGTCATAGGTAACATTCATTGTCTTTCATGACTAGAGGACAGCGGCAAAGCAATACACAGGAATTCAGTTCTGATCTTTGCAATGTTTCCATTTATGCCATCTGTTTGTAGAAATGTCTGAGTTTTCTCAGTAATCTTTTCCACATGCTGTTGATATATGAACGGAAAATGCAAATAAGCTTTTTTCTTATTTACAAAGAGAAAGGGGGAAACTCATTTCAAATAGCAGAGAAACTATCATAATGAATTGTTTAGTTCCCTTTTGCAAAGTCACATAGTTGTGGGTTATGGCAGGGACTCCAGAAGAGTAATTATTTGCGCAGGCTCTGTCGTGTCAACCTTTGCCCTTTGAAAAGATTACTGTTTCAAAGCAATTGCATTTTCAAAGATTGTAAATAATACTGTTTCAAAGTCAGCAAAGAATTTCTGGTCAAATCTATTAATCTTTAATTGGGTTCAATTGAATCTCCGGCATGGAATCTGTTTAAAACAAAAACATATTTGAGGTAAGCCTTGACTGACTACAATTTTCTTTTTTATAACAAGAAAAATATATTCGCAACCCTAACTTCAAATTGCATAATTGAAACCAAGCAATGAGAAATTCTTTCTCAATCCTTCAATGATGCCTTGCTTTAAAAAAAATCTAGAAAACTGTTAGACAAGAAAAATGCTACTTCAGTCACATAGAAAACCTCAAAAGATGACTCTTCAGCAAGGAATGTTATCATTTCCTGCTTTGATTACCAAAGATAACCCACAGCAAATCATCAAATAATTTTTAAAGGCTCCTTGGTTTTATTTATTTATCAGATTTGTTTGCCACTCATCTTGCAAAAGTACTAGAGAATTTCTGGAAGCCTGGCACTCTGATAAATTGGCCCTCAATAGACACATAGACGTAAATAATATTTACATATTGTGCAAAAGAGATTATTAACAAGCCAAAAAGGGAACAAAAAAACTAAAACACCTTCTCACTAGCAATCAACACCCAGATGAATACAGATTAACTCCAAGATTAACATCAGACCAACAATTAAATAAACAATACCCTGATCAAGGAATTGCCAAACAAGGCAACAGTAAGCAACCCAATAAAAGAGCCTCTAAAATCACCTCCCACCAACACTGATAGGGCAAGCCACTAAAATATAAACTAAGAGCAAACCCCATTTCTTACTAGCATGGATTATATTACCTAGTTTGGGTAATGAAACATCTGCAAGAAAACAATGAAGTTCAGAGAGCACAAAGGACCCCTCATTTCAACCCTGAGCTACAGATACTCTCCTTTACTGATAACTAAAAAAGATCTCACAAAGTTGGAACTGATTGAACTTTTTAGTCCCACCCAGTCTGTCATTACCACCGAAGCCACGCCCACCCAATGGGCCATGCCCACCCAATGGGCCATGCCCACCCAATGGGCCATGCCCACCTGGCACCCAAGGATACATAAGTGGGTTTTGTGTTGCAGTTTGGGCATTCGGTCTCTAAAAGATTCGCCATCACTGGTCTATATCATTCCTGTTCTCATATCCATCTGATTCACAGAATTTTCCAGATTCCCACACATAATCTTTGCCTATATATAATCTTGATTTTCTGCTACTTCTCTTATTTTCTTACTAAGAAAGAAAAAGGAATAGATGAGAGAATGATGGAATTGTCGCAAACTTTTTCGGTAGCATTAGGTGAGTTTGGTAGCATTAGGTGAGTTTCTAGAAGGAACGCTACAAACTCAGTCTAGAAACATTTTCATCAATTGTTTTCACTTGCACTCACTTCCAAGAAAGTAAGTTTCTGATTATGCCTTTAAACGTATTTATTCTAAAATTAAGGGATTCTATTTGGCATTTGTTGTTTGTACATACAACTATGATAACTATCCTACTGAGTCTCAGCGTGATGAAGGAAGAATTGCAATTTTACTTTCAGCTCTATGGCAACACATCTGGATTATATCCAACAAGATCCGTATCCATTCCCTTCAGATATGAATTCCACCAGCATGCTTGACTGCATGCATTGCAAGCATGAGGACAAGCATAGAACTACTTTGACATTTTCAATCTACATGTAACTATTAATGCTGCGAGTATGAAGTTATTCCATACCACATTATTTTTGCTTCCTTTCTAAAGCTGGAAAAATATTAGCCTCAATTGCTGATGTAAACACATTTTAACAGGCCATGTAGCCTCCTTTGGCAGCAGGCCAGTTTAACTGCCCTGCAACATAAATCTTTTGTACTCCACTGGTTTCAAGACCAGAATATCCCTTTGCGGTAAAAGATCTAGCTTAAACAATTTTCCCTGAGAAAATACTTCTAACACAAAAGTGAACATGAAGAGGTAAATTGATAAAGAGCAAGTTAAAGTTAAATAAATCTGATTTGGGGGGGTCTGTTTTAATTTACAGCTGGCCAATTTTAATATAATAAAGCATGTCAACTATACCACTCTGCTATATTTAATCAGAAAGAGCCAGATGTTTTATATCAGTCAAATAATTTTAAAATGCCTGGCATTCTAAGTATGGTTAAAAATTCTTCACTGGGGAATTAAAAAAAAGTTTTTTAAATATTTCTTTTTTCCCCTAGTTGATTGAAATAGCACTTTTAAACACTTGTCATAATTACTCAGGAGGTAGGGAATAGGAAAACCTTATCCTTCACTATCTGGCATAGTTTCCTCAACCTGAATAAATCTCAGTCTTTGCTGGGGACCATGAATATATTTGATTATACTCTTTTGTAGAAATTATTGTCAGGCATTTATATGTAGTCACTATTATATCCTAGAACAGTGTCTATCAACCTTGGCAACTTGAAGATATGTGGATTTCAACTCCCAAAATTTCATAGCAAGCATGTTGGCTGGGGAATTTTGGGAGTTGAAGGCCACACATCTTCAAGCTGCAAGATTGTGAATTACTATGCTAAGTGTCCACTTGCATATCTTCTGGGCAGGGACAGAAGAAAAATTGATCCCATCACAATTTTTAGATGAATCTACCATATAGATATGTGAAAAACACCCAGCATGTAGATGCTTAACCAAACATACCAACAGGATTTTGCAATATCTAGTAATAGATGTGGAATAGGACAACTTACCACAGCCAACTCACTCTGGTGAACTCGCTGCAACCAACTTATTTGGGGTCAACTCGCTGCTGCACAGTTCAGTGTGGGATAACTCAAGAAAGGGACAAGTGAATTGCAGCAGGCTTTGTCTTGCTTTAGGTTTGA